AATTTAAATGTAAGAGCTAGCTAGTAATAAGTCTGAGCCGTTGGCCAAGCATTAATAATTAATATAGGCTTCTGAGTGGTTATTCAGGAACTGGCGGACAGGAGAGAAACCTCCAAATACAGGTATGTACACGTGAGTGCAGATGCCTAACAAGGCCAGAAGCTTCAGATCCCTCTTGAGCTGGAGTTATACCAATTTTCAGCCGCCTGACTTGGGTGCTGGGAATTAAACTCAGATCCTCTTCAAGAGCAGTACAAGTTCTTAACCACTGAGCCATCTCTCTAGTCCCTAGGGATCTGTTCTTAAAGTTTCATTGTTTTTATTATGCCCGCATAGAGGTCGGAGATCACCTTTTAGGAGTTGGTCAGTTCTCTTGTTCTAAGCTTGCACAGCAAAAGCTTTTATCCACTGGTTCATTTTGTAGGTGCCCAGTAAGGGCTTATTTATTGATTGTTTTTTACAGTGTGTGTGTGTGTGTGTGTTTGTGTGTGTGTGTGTACACGTGCTTCTGCGTGCATACACCCTCACGGACACACCTGTGGAAAGGTCAGAGGACAACTTGTAAGAGTTGATTCTTTTTCTACCATGTGGATCCTGGGATCGAACTCAAGTTGTTAGGTCTGGTGGCAAGTGCCTGCCTTAACTGAGCCACTTTGCTGGCCCCTAGCTGGGACTTTTATCAGGTGAAATAAACGTGACAAAGCATTTTGTGATGCAATCTGTTACCTGAGACCCTGTGGCCATACAGGCAGGTGGTCTACTCAGCACAGACACACTGCTTAAGGGGTTACCTCCCACCCATTTGTGAGATGATACAAACTTTCTTCCTGCTACTCAGATTGGCAAGCAATGTAAAACTCATGAATTATTAATTTTTGGAATGTCCCACTTAATATTTTTAGACTATGGTTGATGGTGTGTAATTGAAACCTTGGAAAATGAAACCGTGGGTGAAGGAGTATCCCTCCTCCTGTGTGTTTTCAGAGCTGTTAAGTGTCGCTAAGGGTAGTGGCAGCTTTCCTATTTGGCTGGTGGCTTCCTGTTTCGGGAGAGGTAGTGGTTCCTCTGCTGGCTCATTTCTGCAGCCAGGCGCTCAACATCAGAGTCTGTTACCAGCCTTCCGAAAAGGTTTTTAAGCAATTTCTTTACTACTTGAACTAGCTAGAATAGATTCTTAGTTTATTTGGTTTTATTATTTTTAGTTTATATGGTGGGGAAGGGGACATGACTATGTGGACCTGGCTGGCCTCGAACTCACAGTTCTGCCTTCCTATGCCTCCTGAGTGCTGGGATTAAAGGTGTGTGCCACTTCACCTGTTTAGATGCTTGTTTTGGAGACAGGGTCTCGATATGCAGCCCTGGCTGGCCTGAAACGCAATACATAGATCAGATCTAAATCATAGAAATCTTCCCGCTTGTGCCTCCCAAGTGTTTTTGATTAAAGGTGTGTGCCACCATGCCTAGCTTTTTTTTTCTTTAAGATTTATGTTGGTTACATTTAATTTTGTGTCTATGTGTCTCTGTGTGAGCATGTATACATGAGTGTAGGTGCCTGTGGAAGCCAAAGGTGTTAGATTCCCTAAAGACAGAGTTACATATAATGATATTTTATTTGTGTTTTAATAAATAAAACTTGCCTGAAGATCAGAGTGCAGAGCTAAGCTACTGGAGGCCAGGGAGTGGTGGCACACACCTCTGTTTCCAGGACTCAAGGCCACCCTGGGCTATATAAGATGGAATCTGTCAAAAAGAGAAATAGCACACAAAGGTGCTCCCAGTACTCGGGAGTCAAAGGCCTTTAATTCCAGCACTAGGAAGGCAGAGACAAGAGTGATATGGTTGTACACAGAGAGAGGCATATAAGGCTGGAGGAGACAAGAGCTTACTGCAGTCTGAGGTTTGGTGGAGAGCATTGCAATCTGCAGTCACACGGAGGATAGGATTGCCCCTTTGTTTGTCTGAGCCTTGGTAGAGTCAGGAACTCTCTAGAGGCTTAAATGCTTTGCTTTTCTGATCTTCAGCTTGAACCTCAGTATCTGTTTATGGGTTTTTATTATTCAAGCTCCAGTTACAGATGTCTGTGAACACCCAATTCGCTGGGTACCAAATGGGTCCTCTGGAAGGGTAGCAAGTGCTCTTACCCACTGAACCAACACTCCAGCTGTGTGCACTTGCTTTTTTCTTTTCCTTTTTCTTTCTTTTTTTCTTTTTTTGAGACAGGGTTTTACTACACAGCCAGAATCACCTCTAACCTGTAGTTTTCCTGCTCTGCCTTCCTCGTGCTGGCTTCTCGGGTATATGACACTATGCCCAGCCTGGCTTCTGTTGTTTGAAACCGGACACAGTGTGACACACAGGCAGAAAATAACACATAAAGAAAAAGCATGGGGAGGCCGCAGAGAAGACTCTGTGGTTAGGAGCACTTACGTTTTTGCAGAGGGCCACGGTTCAGTTCCCAGAACCCACCTGGCAGCTCATGACCAACCATGTGTGACTCCAGTTCCAGGGGATCTGATGCCCTCTTCCAAGGAACCCTACACACACATCCTGCACATAAACTCACGCAAGTACACACATACACATAGAAATGAAGAAATATAAAACAGGAAAGCATGGTGGATTGGACAGACACAACATATATATAAACCTAATTATAATGAAACAGTCTAGGGGTGGGAAAGATGGCTCTGTGGGTAATGGTGTCTGCCACCAACCTGAGTCAGATGCATGGAACCCAAAAGTAGAAGCAGAGAACTAACTGCCACAAAATCAACTCGGCACACGTGAAACACGCAGGCACTATCAATCGATCGATCAATCAATAAACATCTCAAAAACATCACAGGAAATACAGTTTCATGTCACGTCTCTAATTTTGTTTTTGTCACAAGATCTTGCATAATCCAGGCTAGCTTCAGTCTCATGATGTAGCCAAGGATGACCGTGGACTCTTTGGTCTCTCCTGCCTCCGCCTCTCAAGTGCTGGGATTACAGACATGTGGCATGGGCTCATTTTTGTACCGATTTAAAACATAAAACTTCCTACTCCACACATAGTCACTGTATTAATAAATCATACACAATAAAACATAAAACACGAACAGTAGACCATTATATGTTAATTTTGTTTTTTGTTTTTTGGTTTTTTTTTTTTTCGAGACAGGGTTTCTCTGTGGCTTTGGAGCCTGTCCTGGAACTAGCTCTGTAGACCAGGCTGGTCTCAAACTCACAGAGATCCGCCTGCCTCTGCCTCCCGAGTGCTGGGATTAAAGGCGTGCGCCACCATCGCCTGGCTATATCTTAATTTTGAAGAATGAGCAGTCGTGATAGATGTCAACATGAACACAGTCGTATTTTATGGACACAAAGAAGAATGAGGATGGGCTTGTTTTATAAACACCAAGCGTAGAAAGAAAAATGACTTTTTAAAAGTTAATGTGTGTGTGCACGTGCACGTGGATTGTGTATGTTTGTGCATGTGCCCAGGTATGTGCTAGCCACAGCCTGAGTGAGTGTGGGGGGTCAAAGACCAATTTTCAGGACTTGGTTCTCTCCTTCCATGTCGGTTTGAGGGATCAAACTCGGGTCATTAAGCTCTTACCCGCTGAGTCATTGAGCTGGCCCCAAAATGCCTTTTAAATTTTATTGGCAGTGCTGGATTCACACCAAGGGCCTAGGGCTTGTTATACGAGCGCTCCACAGGGGAACACCATTCCGAGGCCCTGTGGAAATGTTTTGATGGTTTAATCATGAGATGCGTGGGCGTTATTAGTTATTTTCTTTACTTTTCTGCATGTCTCTAATACGCTCTAATTTATAAAACACAGACACACTCAAGCACTCTCCAGGACATCTTGGTGTACAATTACGCTGGAAGCAGCTTCTGGGATGAAAAGGGGGAAACCTGATTAAGAGACGGGCTTTCTAAAAAAGGCAAACTTGAAGGGATGGGAGAGATGGCGCAGCCGTTAAGACAATGGTTCTCAACCTGCGGTTCGAGGCCCCTTTGGGGTTGAAGGACAGGGGTTACATATCAGACGTCCTGTACATCAGATATTTACATTATGATTCATAACACTGGCAAAATTACAGCTATGAAGTAGCAATGGAAATAATTTTATGGTTGTGGATCACCGCAACATGAGGAACTGCAGTAAAGGGTTGCAGCATTAGGAAGGTTGAGAACCTCTACGTTGAGCGTATGCGCCAATTTTGGTTCCCAGTCCAGGGAGATCGGGTATTTCTGAACTCCGTGGACAACTGCATATACATGCACATATCCACACACATTGTTAAAAATATACGACTCTTAAAGAGAAATAAAAAAGAACGTAGAGCTTGGCGCCTTCTGAGGCTGGGGTTTTCAAGACACCACATGGGCATTTACAAAGAATGGGGTCTGGGACTCGGGCTGTGCCGTTAAGAGGCTGTTGCGACCAACATAGTGTCTCTAGCTGGAGTAAAACAGGAGTTAGGGGTAGAAACTGAGAACCCGGCTTAGGCTGATTTGGTGGTGGTGGTGATGGTGACCTCAGAAGGCCACCAGGAAACTAAACCGGAATGGGTAGGAGGGGGCAGCTGTTAGGCTCCGGGCCGGTCCAGTGAGGTCCCCCCAGGTACACTCTGTGGTAAACTCCAAGTGAGGTCGATAAGATTGCACCCGCAAACTCAACCACGCTCGCTTGAAGTGGGTAGGAGTATTGGCACAACCCTGTTCTCAACGAGTCACCTAAATCCAAAGGCCATCCCGAAGCTGGGGCGGTGAGGGCAGCGGTACCCAGCGGCTCCCACACATTGGGGCGGCTTAGCTTTGCTGACGGGATGTAGGTGTGAGGGGGTCAGCGGGCTGGGGACAGGGGGCTCAGTGCTCGATCCGCGCGCGGGAGGCCGGGCTCCAGGGCTGGGAGGACGGTCCGGACCGCGGGGGGCGGGCTCCGGGGCTGGGAGGCCGGACGGGACCGCGGGGGGCCGGGCTCCGGGGCGCCGGGGGCGGGGCCGGCGCGTGGGGGCGGACCTCGGCGCGCTCCCGGCCGCTCGCTGGGCTCTGGGGCCGCGGCGGCTCCTCTGCCGGGTCGCGCCGGAGGACGGGCTTCGGGCGGCGGCTTGGGCGGCCTGCGGAGCGAGCGGGTGGGCCGAGCCGCAGGGCCCCGCGCCTGCCATCTGCTGAGCCCGGTCGCGCGGGGCGCGCGCCATGGCCGCCTCGCCGGGCTCGGGCAGCGCCAACCCGCGGAAGTTCAGCGAGAAGATCGCGCTGCACACGCAGCGGCAGGCCGAGGAGACGCGGGCCTTCGAGCAGCTCATGACCGACCTCACCCTGTCGCGGGTGAGGGCCGGGGCCGGGGCCGGCGCGGGCGGTGCGGGAGGGAGGACGGGCGGGAGGGCGGGCCCGCGAGGCGGGGAGAGGTCGCCGGGCCGAGGGCGGCGGCGGCGGCGGGGCCGGGCGGGGGCCGCGGTGGGGAGCGGGGCCAGGGCGGCTGCGGCCTCGGCTCCGGGCGGCCTGGCGACACCGAGGGCGGCTCGGGATCTCGGCGGAGGGAACGGCCGAGCCGGGGGAGGCGGGCGGCGGGGCCAGGCGGCCTAAGCGGGAAGATGACCCCGAGAGGAAATCGCACGCAGCTCCGAGGCGGGACCGAGGCGCGCCGGGTTCGGGCGGTGCGGCTTCTTGGTGCTCCGGACACCCGCCGCCGGCGAGCCCTTGGCTGTCCGCCTGGAAGGCCTCGGGGACCCGAGGGTCGCACATCCTCCCCGGGGGAAAGCTCGGTGCACGCACGAGTGAATAGACGGCTGGCCCCCGAGTGGCAGAGGGCCTTGGTACCAAGATGTGATTCCGTGACAAGTTTGTGACTTTCCCCTTTTCGCCTCTCGGAGGTGCTTTACGTGGTCCGGTGTATTTTTGTTCAACATCAGATGTTTACGGGGTGCCTAGCGTAGACGGTGACTGAGGAGGGACCCAGAGGAAAGAGTAAAGAGTCATTCGGGACAAACGCCTGGGAAGGCTGGACAACTGGAGCGGAGCTGCAGAGGATGGAGAGAGAGCAGGGGTGTGTGCGGGACCGCAGAGGGTCACCGTGAGTGTGCAGGCAGCCTTGAGGATTCTGAGTGCCGGCCTTGAAGGAGTGCTGTCAGACGGGTGTGCTTGAGTGCTGGGGGGTGGGCAGCTGGAAGGAGATGTGAGAACAGATTGCGAACTGGCTGGTTCCCTGCTCCCTGATTTGCAGACATACTATTTTTTTGTCCACTATAGTGTTGCGGAACTCAAAAAAAAAAAATCTGTTGCCAGGGTTTTAAAATTGAGAGTTTTTTCTTTAAATATAAATTTAACACAAACTGAACTAATATAAATTTGTAATGCAAACTAAGTTTACTTATTTTAAAAATCGAGAGACCTGGTAGCAATCTTGCATTCTCGTGTTGCCACCCTCAAGTGGAGTACGAACTCTATTTTTATTTTGCTATAATGCGATCCGCACCACTCACTGTCGCAGCCCCCCACACCGGGGCCATTTGTCATATTTATGCAATGTTTTCTTTTGGTGTAGTTAAGGGAAAAGTGAAATACTTTCTGAGCTTTCATTCCTACTACATCGAAGCAAAAGAAAAAAGGATAGATAAAGAAGGTTTTAAGAAAAAATTTCCCCGCCCCTGACCAGCGCTGCTCCTTACTAACTGGTGTCCACAGGCCTTTACTTTTCTTGATCCTGGTTAGACTGAGCGTGACAGGCTTAGAACACATGGAAGAGAACTTGTGGGTAAAAGCCGCGGATTAATGTAAGGCCCGTTTCGTGGTGTTTAGAGGAGGCATACGTTATGCACAAACCGTGTCTGTGTACCTGGCATTGTTCCAGCCACTCATGCGAGTTTTGAGGCCCCTTTAAATCATCCTTCGAGGTGGGATTGTGAGTCGTGCACAGACTGCTTTTATTTTTGTGAGACAAGGTGGCACTCTATAGCCCAGCTGGCTTCTAGCCTGCCATCCTTCTTCTTTGGCATCATAAATGCTGGGTTTGTAGGTGTATGCCATCATGAGTGGTTCAGATTTTAAGCATTAAAAGACCTCACAGATCGCTAGTGTTCATTCAATTATTTTTTAAAAAGATTTACTTATTTATTATGTATACAGTGTTCTGCCTGCACACTAGGAGAGGGCACCAGATATCATTATAGACAATTGTGAGCCACCATGTAGGTGCTGGGAATTGAACTCAGGACCTCTAGAAGAACAGCCAGTGCTCTAGACCGCTGAGCCATCTCTCCAGCCCTTAATTATGATTTTACTCGTATATGTTCACACATAAACCTGTGTCTGAAGTTCTTTGGGTACAGCTTTGATACACCTGTAAACCAAAACATTTAGGTGTACGACATACACTCAGGGTTACAAATGCAATAAATTCAAGTAAAATTTAATTTCATATGACAAATGTTGGTCTGCTGAAGGGAGCTGAGGCTCTCTGTGTGAACATGTTGACTTAGTAAGCCTGTTCAACTGTGGCTTATGGACTAATCCAATGGCTATTTTCTGCTAATTACTACAAACGATGCCATTTGCCCTTTACCTGGCACAGGGAATCATTTGCACGTTAATTCTGCGTGTGTTCTCTCCTTGCCCAGTCACATGCACAAGTGACAACACCGATTTTGCCCCGGAGGTTTTTCTTGTTTTTCATTTTAAAGGATGATTTTTCTCTAAGAAATCACGGAATGGAACATAAAGAACTCCCAGAACCTCAACTGTGAGAATTATTTTCTCATTTGGAAAACAACCCATTTGGTCCATAGGGGGGCCATTGGACGGCTGCTGTACTGTCTTTCCTTGGGGCTTAGAGCAGGCATGTGATTGATGGGCAGGCGTTGAAACTGATCTAGGTGTCCTTTCTTCTCGACACAGTGTCAGAGTTCAGATTCTCAGTCTTTCAGGGTTGAACTTGAACCAGGTAGGTAGGATGCTCCTCCTCTGGGTTGCAGCCCCACAGAGGTCTCGTATCTGATATTTACATTACAGTTCATAGCAGTAGAAAAATTGCAGGTATGAAGTAACAAGGAAATATGTTATGGATGGGGTCAGCACAGCATGAGGAACTAAAGGGTCGCAGCCTTGGGAAGGGTGAGAGCCACTGCTCTCGATTTTGGAGAATTTTTTTCTTTCCAGCTTTAGTTGTTCAGCTTCAACAGGGAGCAATGTGAAAAGTTTGGTTTGGTTGGTTTTGGTTTTTCAAGACTGGATGGACTTCTCTGTGTAGCCCTGGCTGTCCTAGAACTTGCTCTGTAGACCAGGCTGGCCTCGGACTTAGAGCTTCTCTGGCCTCAGCCTCCCTAGTCCTTGGATCAAAGGCCACCGCACCTGGCTAGAGTTTTGAGAAGGGAGGACTTTGAGGATTTGTCCGTGGTGGTCCTGGGTTGCCTGGTGAGGAGGAGGAAAGTGGAGGCAGCATCTGACTGAGAAGAGTGCTGTGTTGTTCATTCATCCGTGTGATGTTTGTGAGTTGTGTGCTGCCGGTGTGCTAATGGACTGTTTGTGACGTGTGTGTACGATTCAGGTAAAGAGTCTCCTTGGTGTGCTCACAAACGCTGTGACTGCAGTGTGTGCCTGGGTTTTTATGGTTATTTGGGATGCCGTAGTGGACAAGCAACAGAGCCTTCTGGTGGACGTTAGGCTCTAGAGAGGAAGACTTCTAAGAAGTAAAGACCCATCTGGGCGAATGTTATAGAAAGGAAGCAGCTGGGGCTCTGGGCATGTGTGGTAGAAAGTCCATGCCGCTTCTGATGGCCTGAAGGGTCGGTGGGTACGGGGAAGGAAGGTGGGGATATGTGTGTGGGAGGGGAGTGTGCTTCAGGCAGAGTCCTAAGGTCCAGCAGGAGGATTAGAAGAGAGGGAGGTGCTGGAGACTTCACAGGGATCAGGTTGTAGAGATGGGATTTGGGAGTGATCCCGAGAACAATAGTAGGCCAGTGGTAGAGGCTGAACCTGGATTAATTTGCATCTTCAAAGGATCCCTCCAGCTCCAGAGCAGCAGCTAGACTCTAGGAGGCCACAGTGGAGAAGCCGGCTCAAGGCTGCCACAGTAAACTCAGGCAGGGGGTCAGTGGCCGTGTGTGTGTGTGTGTGTGTGTGTGTGTGTGTGTGTGTGTGTGTGTGTCTGTGTGTGGTGGTGGTGGTGGTGGTGGTGAACAGAGTGAGGAGCTTTGGAGAAGTGAGGACGGTGAGCAGAGAGGGTCCAGATGATTCCCAGCTTCAAGCTCCAGGCACCTCAGGTCCTTCGGGAGAAAACTCTGGCCGGAGCAGGGCGTGGCTGTGGAAGAGATGCTGAGTTTGAGGGACCTGCGAGCTAGGCACTGAAAGCATGTTCCAGCCGGCATTGGTTTGTGCGGACCTGGGGCTCAGGAAGGAAGGCTGGGTGTTGGTACAAATTTGGGGCTCTTTGGAGTTTAGCCACAGGAAATTTGATGGCTTGGGAAGAGTTTAGAGGCCACATCCTGCAGGGAGGACGTTGTAGTTCAGGTGGTCGAGTGCCTGTGTTGAGCCCAGAGTTTGGTCCCTGGCATAAACCAGCTGGGGTGGCTTAACCTGGAATCTCAGCACTTGGGAAGTTGAGGCAGGAGGATGAGAAATGTAGTCATTCTTAGTTAGCTACATAGGAAGTTTGAGGTCAGCCTACCCTATCTCAAAGAAAAGACCCCCTCCACACACACACACACAAACTACAGACTGACGACCCACACCCTGGTTTTGGCTCTCTGACATATTTTTATTTTGTTTTCTTGATCCAAAATATGTGTGTGTGTGTGTGTGTGTGTGTGTGTGTGTGTAACTGTCTGTGTCTGTGTGCTTGTATCTGTTTAATGAGGGCCAGCAGTAAGCACTGGGATTGTACATTAAAGTCTAGCCTCTGAATTTTGGAAAATGAAAATACTTAGCAACACCCTTCTCTCATTTCTTTCTTTTTCCATTAAAAATATTTATTTACATTTTATTTTATGTATATGAGTGTTTTGCCTGCATGTATGAAAGTGAACCACATGGGTGTCTGGTGCTCACAAGACCAGACGAGGGTGCTGGATCCCCTGGAACTGTAGTTAGGGATGGTTGTGAGCTGTCCGGTGGGTGCTGGGAGTCCAACCTGTCCTCTGCAAGAGCAGGAAGTGCTCTTCTGAGCAATCTCTTTAGCTCCTCTCTTTACAATTATTCACTTTGCATGGGGGTGGTGGTGGTGGTGGTATATCTATGCCCATGCTTGTGGAGGTCGGAGGACAATGGGTAGGAGTCACTTCTCTTCTTCCACGTATGTGTCCTGAGGGTCACACATGTCATCAGGCCTGACAGCG